TGAGGAACTGAAAAATCTTTCATTTGTATATGTCAGATTATGGCACAAGAAAGGCTGATAGTAATTCAAAACAAACAAACTGCTTAATTTCACTTTTGAGGGGAAAATGGTCAGGTAGGAGCAGGTTTAAATTTATCATGTGAACAGACAATAGGAATGAGGTAGGTTTGTATCCAGGGCTCTTTTTGTAGAAAAAGCCAAGCAGGAACTCATTAGCATAATCGGCCACACCCAGCAGCAGAAACTCATTAGCATATTAGGCCACAGACAGACAGACAGAGACACACACAGAGGGAGAGAGACACACACTCAGAGAATATAAGGACATAAGAACGGGATGTACTAAAAGGAAGGACAGGATTACCCATTGGAAACAATGGGAAACACTTGAAGGCCCATTAGAAATAATGGGAGCCAGGAATGCCAACAATTGACTTGCATGGGCTTAATTGAAATACAAGTAGAGCTGCAAGGAGAATGCGGAATAGATTTACCATTAGGGTCTCTGGGCCCAAATAGACTACTCTGGGATTGGAATGACAGGCCCCAGCTTGGAATGACAGCCCCTAGGAGTAACAGAAGTGTTCTGTGACTGGAATGACAGGCCACAGAGTGGAATGACAGCCCCAGGGGGTAGCAGGAGTGTTCTGTGACTAGAATGAGACCACAGAGTAGAATGACAGGGCCTGTCACTCACAACCTAACCCAAGCCTGCAAGATCTCATTCCCACTTTTTTCTCATCGGCTGCGTCCAGCTGCCGGTCAGAGTGCAGCTTGGACATTTGCTCCCGGGGAAGGCGGGGCTAAGGCTGCTCTGTCAAGCCGTCACCAGGATGGAAGACCGGCTGGCGCAGCAGAAGCAGCTGCAGAAGGGGAGCCGGTGGTTGGTTGGGGAGGCAGGGCAGAGCATCTTTCTTCCAGGCTTTCATCCCCCCCGGCTTCTTGATACATCTTTGTCCCTTTGCTTTAGAGAAGAACCATACCTTTTATGCAGCCCAGACACTTTTCTACCAACAAAGTTTACAGTTCTCCTACTCCACCCAAGGGCTCCCCTGTCCAGCAGCCGCCATGGACCCAACGCACTTCATTGGCCAGGAAGATACCCGCCGGTCTCCCCCAACAGCACGGCCACAGCAGACTCTGGAGGGCTGCTGGGCCATGCTGTGAAGGAGGAGGGAGCCCGGGGCCTTCCACCCCCCCCTGCACACACACACACACACACACACACACACACACTCACCCGCCTCCCCTGACAGCATGGTCGACCCTTGAGGGCCTCTGGGCCACACTGCAGAGGAGGAGGGAGCCTGGGGTCTCTTACTCCCCCGCACACACACATGCACACTGGCCCGCCTCCCCCACAGTGCAGCAGACCCTCGAGGGCCTTTGGGCCATGCTGCGGAGGAGAAGGGAGCCTGGGGACTTCCACCCCCTGCCTGCATACACACACACACATTCGCCCGCCTGCCCCGACAGAATGGCTGCCCCTTGAGGGCTGCTGGGCCACGCTGCGGAGGAGGAGGGAGACAGGGGACTTCCATCCCCCCTGCACACACACACACACACACTCACCTTCCTCCCCCGACAGCGCAGCCACCCCTTGAGGGCCGCTGGGCTGCGCTGTGGAGAAGGAGGGAGCCTGGGGCCTTCCACCACTCCCTGCCTGCACACACACATACACACACACACACACACAAACTTGCCCGCCTCCCCCAACAGCACAGCTGATCCTCGAGGGCCGCTGGGCTGCACTGCGGAGGAGGAGGGAGCCCAAGGCTTTCCACCACCCCCGCGCACACACACACTCGCCCGCCTCCCCTGACAGCATGGCCAACCCTCGAGGGCCGCTGGGCCATGCTGCGGAGGAGGAGGGAGCCAGGGGACTTCCACCTCCCCTGCACACACACACACACACACACACACACACACACTCGCCTACCTCCCCCGACAGCGCAGCCACTCCTCAAGGGCTGCTGGGCAGTGCTGCGGAGGAGGAGGGAGCCTGGGGCCTTCCACGATCCCCCGCCTGCACACACACACCCGCCTCCCCTGACAGTGCGGCAGCCTCTTGAGGGCCACTGGGCTGCGCTGCAGAGGAGGAGGAAGCCTCGTGACTTCCACCCCCCCTGCACACATGCACACACACACACACATACACACTCACCCGCCTCCTCTGACAGTGTGGCAGACCCTTGAGGGTCGCTGGGCCATGCTGCGGAGGAAAAGGGAGCCCGGGACCTTTCACCCCCCCACCTGCATACACACTCGCCCGCCTCCCCCAACAGCGCAGCAGACCCTTGAGGGCCGCTTGGCCGCAGTGCGGAGGAGGAGGGAGCACGGGGCGTTCCAGTTCCCCGCCTGCACACACACCCACCTCCCCCGACAGCGTGGCAGCCCCTCGAGGGCCGCTGGGCTACACTGCAGAGGAGGAGGGAGCATGGGGACTTCCACCCCTTCCTGCACGCACACACACACACTCACCTGCTTCCTCTGACAGTGTGGCAGACCCTCGAGGGCTGCTGGGCCATGCTGCGGAGGAAAAGGGAGCCTGGGGCCTTTCACCCCCCCACCTGCACACACACACACTCGCCACATTATGACCACATTATTATGACCACATTATTGCAGCATGGAGTTCTTCATGGGTTTGCTGCTGAGCCAGGTCAGAAGCTGCAGTTGGTACAGCACAGGTTAGTCCAGGGGTGTCGAACTCATTTGTTATGAGGGCCGGATCTGACATAAATGAGACCTTGTGGGGCCGGGCCATGTGTGTCATAAGATGTAATGTCAGGTAGTAGAGATATAAACTTTCTAACGGACACAAACACAAAGGATTTTTTTTTAACTTAAAATAAAAACATCCTTAAAGCAGTATCATTCTTGCAATATTTTGTTTATTTAACAGTATCTGATAACTGACACCTGTTCCTCTGAATTATTACATCAAAATGTCTGTGTTGTTGCAATCTTGAGTATGCTGTTCAGGTGTGTATCTGTAAGCTGCAAACCTACAATGATGCAGCAGCAGCAGAAGTAGAAAAAGCAGAAGACAGCCAGTTCCACTGAGGGCCTGAAAAAAGCCCTCCGGGGGCCTGATCCAGCCCCCGAACCGCATATTTGACATCCCTGGGTAGTCCTTTGTTGACTGGGATCAGTCACTATTTTCGTATTATGGTAATATTATATTTGTGTGTGTGTGTGTGTGTGTGTGTGTGTGTGGCAATATTTGGCTTCCGAAGATGCTTCAGGTTTCATTTCAAGAGTACTGCTGCTTACCTCTAGTGCCCTTCAGGGCCTAGGACTCACATAGTGGAAGGAACAACTCTGTCTCTATGAACCCATGTACCATCTGGATTCAGTTCCTCAGCTGGAAAACCCAGATTCAATTCCCCACTTTGCTGTAGAGCTCACTGGGAAACACTGTGCCAATCAGTTTGTCAGCCAGACCTACCTCACAGGGTTTTAATGAGGATAAAATGAAGGAGGGGAGAAAGAGGAATGCTGCCCTGAGTTCCTTGGAGGAAGGGTGGGATACAAATATATCAGATAAATAATAATAATTAAGGATAGAGCCTTTTTTGTGGTCATCCTCCAGCTTCGGAACACTCTCTTTTGTCCTCAACATTCAGAGGCAGAGCCTCCACATTTAGAATGCCAGTGCCAGGAAAGAAGATCAAGGGCAGGCCTTAGCCTCTATGCCCTGTTGCAGGCTAAAACTTTTTTTTTAAATCCCCAGTCTTTGAACTGATGGATGTATGGCTTTGACTCCAAAGTGGATTTTTGCTTTTCCGTTGCACAGTGGTTCCAGTAGGTTGTTGTCTGGTTCCAAGAGCAGTTCCAAGAGCAGTTTGGCTGCAATACTAAAGCCTGACTGCTGAGAAGCAGCAGCTTTGGCTTTGTTTGTTGGAGGATCTCTGCCTCCTTGGAAGTTTTCACATGGCTTGCAGCCCTACCAAAGTGGAGCATAGTTTGTGATTTGAGAACCACTGTAGATCCAACATGAGCATGATGATGCCATAAACGTACCTTTTTCAGCTTTCTCAGATACACTTGAGGATTCCCTCAATGACAAACCACCTCTGCTTATCTCTTGCCCTGAGAACCCCATGGTTCTGAGGTTGCCAGAGTCGGTTGTGACTGGCAGCGCAGTATTCATTTCAGTGATTAAGTAATTAAAATAAATGCTTGCAAGGTAATCTGAGGTCATGGGCAAAGGCAGTAGTCGTAAATTTCAAATTAAAATTTTCAAAGCGATTTTTTTTTAAAAAAAGATGCCTTTAAAAATGAGAATGGGTTCTGTGAAAAAAACACTGGAATCCTGAGAGAAAACAGCACAGTCATGCTATCAGATGCATACAGATGTATTTAGATACATCTGAACAGCTTGCTGAACAGTGGGCTCCCTGCTTCATGACTGGCTAGCAGGGCATGAGCTGAACTCACAAGGTGTGAGAGGATGTCTAATATGTTGGTGTCCCTAAGAATACAGAAACATCCATAGGTGCTGACTTAAAAATAAAAATGATCACTATTTTTAAGTCTTCAGTAAGAAACAGAGAACTGCTTGTTGAGCTGTCTAGTAGGAGACAGAAATAACAGAAGGGGACCATAGTGAATTAGATAGGATTGCTGAGTGAGGAACAAAGGACTGTTTCTTGCATTTAGTCCTGATTTGCATTGAGTGTTCATAAGATAAAGTTCTCTCCAAAATGGCTTGTGCAGTATTCACCTCACTGTATTCTCCCCTACACAAAAATGAGCTGAATTCCATTCCCCCTTCAGCTGTCTTGTAAAATCTCTTCCTCCAAGATGCATATCTCTGGTTCATCTTCACAAGCTCAGTTTGCAAAAGATGACTTTAAAAAATTCTTTGCAGATTTCTACTGAATTATCTGAAGAAAGGAGAAGTTTTTCTTCAGCATACATGCAAGGAAAATGCCTGGAGAGACCAGAGCCGGATTTTTCCGAATGCTGACTATCTCTGCTATATTCTTCTTTGGAATGCTGCTCTTGCCAGTCATTAGAACATCAAAACAAAATGTCCCAAGACTTAAACTGTCCTATAAAGGTAAACAGTTCAAGCAATTCTGCATTGTTGTTATTCATGTTTTGGTGAAATGCTGGTAATAAATAATTTCTGTTCTTAAGAGAAACATAACACTTGTCTCCTCACTCTTGTTTGAGGTGATCAGTAGGGGTGTGCAAAAAAAAAAAAAAAATCAGCCTATTTGGATTCGACCGAATTGGACAGAATCAATTTTGGCTGGCAGTAAGACTCCTGCATGTCAGTTTCGTCAGTACAAGCCATTTCAGGAGTCTTTTGGCCAGCCGAATGTCAATTTCAGCCCCATTATATCCTATGGGCCATTGAAGTCAATGGCAAAAACATAGGGTATATTCTGGGGGCTGGAGGGGACGGGGTTTGAGGGAGAGGCTCCAAACTCACAGGGCAGCTGCTGGAGCCTCTCTCTAAGATACCCACCAAGATTCAAGAATATTGGACTGGGGGTCCAATTCTACGGGCCCCCAAACAGGTTGCCCCCATCCCCTCCATTGTTCTCTATGGTGGGAACAAAAATTACTTTTTTCCCATGGTGCTGTTAGTGGCTCTGGGAGGGAGGGGGTTTGAGGGAGAGGCTCCAAATTTTCAGAGTAGCTTCAGGAGCCTCTCCCCACATAAATCCTTATGTCACAAAGCAACTGGATTAGTGGGCCCAATTCTATGGGCACCCAAACAGGTTATCCCCATTACCTGCATTGTTTCCAATGGGGAAACCCAGCCAGCAACACTTAAGGCAGGCAAGCAGGCAGCACCCAGCAGTCAGATTCTCCCAGAGAATCTCAGGGAAAGTGAACTGTCTTGGGAGGTGCTTGTTTACCATGAGAACAAGAGGCACACTCCAGAACAAGTGGCACTGTGGCAGTGCAAGCATGCCACAGTGCCACACAGAAACCCCAAAAGACCAACAGGAACAACATTTATAGGTAGGTACGGTGTGGCGACGGGTGGTTTCTCGGTCGCTCCGAGAACGCCCGATCCTTTAACGCTCTTTTTGGGGGACCCCTGGGTGACCAGGGGGGCCTCGATGGACCTCTCAGAGAGAGGTCTATGCAGGGGAGTCAGTAGTGGCCCCTCCCGTTCCTGGCAAGGCGGGGGGATGACCGCTTCCGTCCCGAAGCGGGAGCGCTTTATGGAGTAGAGCTATGCTCTACACAAGCTGCGACCATCCTTTTTTTTTAACCGTTTCTGGAGACAGACTATGGGATAAAGCATTAAAAAGATTTTGTAAGTACGCATATTTCTAACTTTGAAGAGTCTTCGTTTGGCAAGTCACCCCACACTTTTGAGCCCATGTTGGAGGTGTTTGAGCGGCCAGAGAGAGAAAGGGGCGAAGAAACATGATGGATGGTTCTTTTTCTTTTCTTGGGGTGAAAGAATTTGGTGTTTGGGGACTTACATTTCTGCTTGAAGCGTTGGAAGATTATTGAAAGTGGATTAAAGTTAATCTCATTTCTAAAATGACAATTTTCTCAGTGGAGGGTGGTAAGCAGTGGGGTACCACAGGGTTCAGTACTTGGTCCAGTGCTTTTTAACTTGTTCATTAATGATTTGGAGATGGGAGTAAGCAGGGAAGTGGCTAAATTTGCGGATGATACAAAGTTGTTCAGGGTGGTGAAAACCAGTGAGGATTGTGAGGCACTCCAAAGGGATCTGTCAAGGATGGGCGAGTGGGCGTCAACATGGCAGATGGGGTTCAGTGTGGCCAAGTGCAAGGTGATGCACATTGGAGCCAAAAATCCTAACTATAAATACACATTGATGGGCTCTGAACTGGCAGAGACTGATGAAGAGAGAGATCTTGGAGTTGTAGTAGATAACTCACTGAAAATGTCGAGACAGTGTGTGACTGCAATAAAAAAGACCAATGCTATGCTGGGGATTATTAGGAAGGGTATTGAAAACAGATCCGCCAATATCATAATGCCCCTATATAAATCAATGGTGAGACCTCATTTGGAATACTGTGTGCAGTTCTGGGCACCACACCTTAAAAAGGATATTATAGCTTTGGAAAAAGTGCAGAAAAGGGCAACTCGAATGATAAAAGGGTTGGAACACTTTCCCTATGAGGAAAGGTTAAAGCACTTAGGGCTCTTTAGCTTGGAGAAACGACGACTGAGGGGTGACATGATCGAGGTTTATAAGATTATGCATGGGAAAGAGCAGGTAAAGAAAGAGGTACTTTTCTCCCTTTCTCACAATACAAGAACCCGTGGGCACTCCATGAAATTGCTGAGCGGTCGGGTTAGAACGGATAAAAGGAAGTACTTCTTCACCCAAAGAGTGATTAACACATGGAATTCACTGCCACAGGAAGTGGTGGGTGCTACAAGCATGGACGGCTTCAAAAGGGAATTAGATAAGCATATGGAGCAGAGGTCCATCAGTGGCTATTAGCCACAAGGTATAGCTAGGGGCTCTGGGGCAAGTGATGCTCTGTCTTCTTGGTGCTTGGGGGGGGGGTCAACAGTGGGAGGGCTTCTAATGTCCTGGCCCCACTGCTGGACCTCCTGATGGCACTGGTATTTCTGGCCACTGTGTGACACAGAGTGTTGGACTGGATGGGCCTTTGGCCTGATCCAACATTGGCGTCTCTTATGTTCTTATGTTCTTAAACAAGTGAGCACAGGTATGTGTAGCAAGCTTGGCGGCTGCACATGCATGCAACAATTGGCTGAAACTGGGCCCCCCCCCCCCCCGTTTTCAGTACTGGGGGGGGGCAGGGCATCAATAACCTGAGGTCTCAGTTTTTGCTTGTAGACCTTTCAGAGATATCTTGTTGGCCTGTGTGAAACAGAATGCTGGAGTAGTTGGGCCATTGGTATGATCCAGCATGACTTCTGTGTGATGCTCTTATGTAATTAGTACTGATAGAAATGAGGAGGAGGTTCTATAATTATTTTTTAAATTATATTATGTCTTACTCTTTTTCCTTGTAATACTTCCCCTCAGTATAATTTTCCATTATTAATGTAAAAAACCATTAATGGAATATTTGAAGTTTTAATTTTAAAAATAAGGGGGAGGTTGTTTGTCATCTGCATATAAATAGTGCAACTTCATCCCTGCATACAAGATACCCCCAAAGTATAGAGCTGGCTATGAATTTTTGCTTAAAGTAAAGCTCCAAGCAAAACTGGAGGTTTCTGCTCAGTTTAAGCGTTTGGAGGGAAGTCCAACCATGACTTTGGCAAATGTAGAGGAGAAGAAACATTTGCAAAGCAAACTCAGTGGGTGGGAGAGAAGGGAGTGTAGCATAACTGGATGATGAACTCATCATGGTTCTTTTCTTATTAGAACTTAAGTAAGGAGGTGGTATTTTAGGGCTGATTTCTTGCTCTTCCTGTAAAGATCCCTCCCATTGTGTCTGGCAGGGTAGCCTCTTGGTGACAGCAAAGTTTATGCAGCAGCTGAACTAAGAATAAACTTTGAGAACTGTCCCATATCAACTCTGTAATGATGTAAACAGTGATTAACTAACCAGCATTTCTTGCTTTTCATAATTGTAAAACTATCTCTGTTGGAGCAAGTGGGTACAGATAAATCCTTTTGTATGAGATACCATACCATCATTCTGCAAGGTTATTTGCTTAAATCATAGGAGATGAGACAGGAAATAGCTAGTGAATGGAAGCAGGAGAGGGGGCAGGTGAGATAGTTTTTGAACTAGCTCTGGGTATTATAAATACTGTGCAGGGCTCATTTCCTGCCAGAGTGCACAGGAGGGATGCTCCGGCAGTAAGGAGCCCAGGGGGTGGGCATATGCAGCAAGCCCCACCCCCTGCTCCCAGCAGCCCTCAGTCAGCCACGAGGAGCAAGAAGAAGCAAGATAAGTTGCAGAGCCCCCCCCCTCGCCTTTCCCAGCCTGCGCCGAGGCGCAGTGCTGGGGAAAGGCCTGCCCCCCCATCTTTCCCGGCCTGCGCCAGCTCTCTCACCCTGCAGCTCAGCCTGTCTCACATACAGGTCTCTTAAAAAAAAGGAGCCAAGTTTTCAAAATGGTAGCATCCTTTAAAGATGCTGACGCTTGAGTATTGATAATATTCAGGTACAGTTGTGTCTGGTATCAAACACTTACTGGGAAAAAATTTGGTTCTTTGAGGGTCACTTTATACAGTGAAATATATGTGTAGGCAATTATTAGAAGTGTGTATTTATATATCATACTGCACTGAAATGCTTTTTCACGCATTTCACTTAGAAAACAAAACTGGAAGATGTGATGCTGCTCTTTGTCGCATATACCATCCTTCTTTGCAACTAGCACTGTAACTTTTCTTCACCTGTCTATTCATTTGTAGCATCACTTTCTCTATTGGTTTATATACGTTTCACTTATTAAATGCAGTAGGGAGCCCAGCTGTGGTTTAGGGCTACAATCCAAGCTATAAAGAGCAGCCCTCAATTGAACTCAACGGGTCTTACTTTTTGGGAAACATATTGGAATTGTACTAGAACCTTTCTGTTTTTTACTGTTAAAACATAGCACTAGTCACTATAGATTAACAGTTCAATGTTTGTTTTACAAAACCACCTTCTTTATAACTGAAGTTCATCCAAACAATTTTCTTCTCTAAATATTGCCAGGAAATTAAAGGATTCTTGCCCTTCTCATCATTTTTCCAGAGCATGTCAATAGTATGTCAAGCACATCACTGAGGATAAACTCATAGAATTAGGAGATACCACAAGAACTGTCCAGTGCAGTAACCTGTAATCATAGAATTTCTCAGAGTTATTTGTACACAGAAGCATGTTTGTAGCATCCAGTTTGAATGAAGGACCAGCTTGGGGGAGCTCTTAGATGCCACCAGTCATCTGAGGCTTGACATTTATTTGTTTTATTTTTATTTTTAAAGAAAGAACCTTTCTACATTTGTCCAGCTTTGGTCACATAAACTCCCCTCACACCCTATCTGGTAGTAGAAATAGTACAAAATCACTGGCATCATGGAAGCCAGGTATATATGCTCCCCAAATAACAAATCAAGGACCACTGCAATGTTATT